CTTCCCCCCCCTGGCTCCAGCAGTCTTCTCTGTTGCTGCCGATCTTCTCTTCCCCCCAACTCTGGAGGTCTCCGCTGCCACCGCCGATCTCCCCCCAACTCTTGAGGTCTCCACCGCCGCCAATCTCCTCCTTTCCCCGGCTCCGGCGATCTCCTCTGACGACGCCACCTGTCTCCTGATCTCCTCCCCCCCGGCTCCAGCAATCTCTGCCGCCGCCGCTGTCGCTGCCAATCTCCTCTCCCCCTCCTGCTCCTGCGGCGAGGCCTGAGCAACCTCCAACCGCCGGCCCACTGCAGAATTCCCAGAGCGTACTCTGCGCATGTGCAGGGAATGCTCTTACTTTTTTTAGGATTTAAATATCCCCCCTATATTTTTTCCAAGTTTTCAGATTTTTCTGCACACCTGGGGACTGCCCCAAGTGTGCAGGAAAATCTCCCTGCCCCCCAGGTGCCCCCGATGTGCGGATTTAGATATCCGCACGCAGGGGGCAACTTGGGAATTAGATATATAGATTAGTAAGCTTTTACCAATATGGGATAAATTTAAAAGAAAGCTTTCTCCAGATATCTCGCCTCTATCATCAGCAGCCAGAGATTTAGACAAACATCAAAAGTTTCAACTTCCTACCCTGAGTAAATCGGAAAGAGTCAATCTAGATTGGTATAAGAACTTGCAATTGGTGTCTCAGGGGAATAGAATTCAATACAATGTTGTGAGGGAAAGCAGTGATGGTCATATATCATGAACTGGGTATTTGCAGACGAGAACATTTTTGGCAGAATGACTTACGAGGATATAATCCTTAAGCCAAAATGAATGAATTTGAAAAGTTAATTTTGCAGCCTCAGAAACACTTTCAAAGTTTCATAATCTGATTATTAATATTGTGCCTACTGCTACAAGTAATCTTACTTGTAAGTGGGCTCAGAATCTAGGCTATGAAATTGAAGATGATGTCTGGAAGTTTGCTTTGTGTAGAGGCTCTTCATTTTCTCTCTGGTTGAACTTCAAAGAAAACATCTTTAAAGTGATTTCTCACCATTCCAACTGTGAGATTAAAGTTGGAAACTGAAAGAGTCTCCCAAATGTGCAGGCATGGCTGGATAAATTGGATGATACTTATCAGCTGGTTAGAGTTGTTTTAGTGAATAGTAAGAATTTTGTGTCACTGTGGTCCAATTGGCTGAGAGTTATGAACCCTCTTTGGATAAAATGTTTGTTTTATATTTCGGTTTGTTTTGTGAAGTAATAAAGTTAAAACAATTTTTTAAGAAGAGAAGAGATTGGATTAATACACCGCCCTTCACTACCCAAAGGTGTCACAGAGCGGCTTACAGACTACTTTCCCTTCCCCTCCCCACAACAGACACCCTGTGAGGTAGGTGGGGCTGAGAGAGCTCTGACAGAAACTGCTCTTTTTCAAGGACAGCTCTTATCAGAACTACGGCTTGCCCAAGGCCATCCAGCCGGGTGCAAGTGGAGGAGTGGGGAATCAAACCCGGTTCTCCCAGATTAGAGTCCGCGCACTTCACCACTACACCAAACTGGAGGAGGAGGAGGAGGAGATGATTGGATTTATATCCCGCCCTTCACTACCCAAAGGTGTCTCAGAGCAGCTTACAAACTCCTTTCCCTTCCCCTCCCCACAACAGACAGCCTGCAAGGTAGGTGGGGCTGAGAGAGCTCTGACAGAAACTGCTCTTTTTCAAGAACAGCTCTTATCAGGACTGTGGCTTGCCCAAGGTCATTCAGCCAGGTGCAAGTGGAGGAGTGGGGAATCAAACCCGGTTCTCCCAGATTAGAGTCTGCGCACTTCACCACTACACCAAACTGGCTCTCAAAAAAATGAAAGGAAGAGAGGTTGAAGAAAAAAGCCACATGAGGAACTGTACTTAGCTGGTGGCTGCCAGACTGCTCTTTGGGAAGATGTGTGGAGGCCACAATGGAGAACAAACAGAAGATAACCCATCCCTTCGAGTGTGCTCCACTTATAACTGTCATTGGATTGATTCCCCCAGCATGGGAACAACCACCATATGTGTTGGAAAGTTTTTATCAGAAACTTACAAAACCAGATTGAAACACACCTGTTCCCTTTGATATTTTATACTTGATATACTATTATTCAGGGGTCATTTCGTAGAAAAAGAGGTGTAGGAGTTCATGAACATAACTCATTAGCATGACTCATTTGCATAGGCCACACCCCCTGACATCACCGGAAGTGTGTCAGAAGGCAACACCCACTGCTCAGGCTCCACTGGACTGTTTTGTATTCCTAGCTATGGGGGGGGGGGAAACGGGCAGATCTGTCCTCGCAGTGGAGGGAGAGCTTGTACCTGAATAAAACTTGGACTTAAAGGTGCCACTGGACTGTTTTGGATTGCTAGCTATTGGGGGGGGGGACGTGCAGATCTGTCCCTCGCAGAGGAGGGAGAGCTTGTACCTGAATAAAACTTGGTCTTAAAGGTACCACTGGACTGTTTTGGACCGGGGACCACTGGACTGTTTTGGACCGGGGAGCTGGGGGGGGGGCTCTGCAGCTTACCTGGCTGCTTCTTGCTCTGACTGAGGGCTGCTGGGAGCAGGGGGTGGGGCTTGTTGCATGTGCCCGCCCCCTGGGCTCCTTACTGCCGGAGCTCCGCTCCTGTGCCCTCCTGCAGGAAATGACCCCTGCTATTATTGATTACGATTTTAGAACCCTGTTCTATGCTCTTACATATAATATATATGCATTGAAAATTGTATGTAATTACTTGTGTTTTCTTTCTTTCATGCCGATAAAGGCTAATGAATGAATGGATTTCAGCAAAGAAATCAATCTCTCAGTCAAGCATAGTATCATCAGAAACTAGAATTCTGCCTTCTGGAAGAAAAGAAAAAAAGCAGTAATTACACATTTCCCCATAGAAATGATTCACTGTATTTTAGAATCACAGAGACAAATTTGTAGTTTTCTTTGGTCTTGTCATTTATTATCAGCCCATGAAAAATCTTGTTCGATGGTAATAGTTTATAGCGACTTGGCATGCTTTTTACAGCATGTACTTTACTGTGGACATAATCTTGTCACTGGAACAGAGGTTCTTAAAGGTTATTGGATTTTAAGTATGGGAAATCTTGTTCAACTGTGTGTTTCTAAAGCTTGGGTGGCCAAGCTTTAGAAACACACAGTAAAGTTTCTAAAGCTTGGGTGGCCAAGCTTTAGAAACACACGGCTTCAAAAGGGAATTAGATAAGCATATGGAGCAGAGGTCCATCAGTGGCTATTAGCCACAAGGTATAGCTAGGGGCTCTGGGGCAAGTGATGCTCTGTCTTCTTGGTGCTTGGGGGGGGGTCAACAGTGGGAGGGCTTCTAATGTCCTGGCCCCACTGCTGGACCTCCTGATGGCACTGGTATTTCTGGCCACTGTGTGACACAGAGTGTTGGACTGGATGGGCCTTTGGCCTGATCCAACATTGGCGTCTCTTATGTTCTTATGTTCTTATGTTCAGCAGTTCGAGACCCGGGTGCCGCAAGACGGAGTGAGCTCCTGTCTCTAGTTCCAGCTCCTGCCAACCTAGCAGTTCGAAAGCAAGAAATTGCAAGTTGATAAATAGGTCCCACTTCGGTGGGAAGGTAACAGCGTTCCGTGCGCCTTGGTGTTGAGTCATGCCAGCCACATGACCACAGAAACGTTTTCGGACAGCGCTGGCTCATCGGCTTTGAAACTGAGATGAGCACCGTAACCCTAGAGTCGGATTCGACTGGCTTTTGAGCAAGGGAACCTTTACCTTTACCTATTCCTGGAAAGAAGAGGGCCCCCTTGAGAGAATTACTGTCTGAATCAGATGGATGAGCACTTTCTGAGGTTTAACACGGTGGTTTTAAATAAAACACAAAGAATAGTCTTTCCAAATGAACTGGCTTTATAGAAACACTGTGCACAGTGAGATGAATCTGAAATATTAACTGAGCTCATGTGTGCGAGATTCTACATATTCAAGAGCCAGTTTGGTGTAGTGGTTAAGTGCGCAGACTCTAATCTGGGAGAACTGGGTTTGACTCCCCATTCCTCCACTTGCAGCTGCTGGATGACGGGTTAGTCACAATTTCTCTCAGAGCTGTTCTCTCACAAGGAGTTCTCAAAAGAGCTCTCTCAGCCCCACCTACCTCACAGGGGAGGGGAGGGGAAAGGAGATTATAAACAGCTCTGAGAGTCCTTTGGGTAGTGAAGGGTGGGGTATCAATCCAATCTCTTCTTCTTCTTCTCACTCTGATGAAACACCACCGATGTAGAGATGTAAAGAAGCGCATGTTCTTTTTGGTCCTGGCTGGTACTTCTCTGCGCAAACAGTCATCTGCCACAATCATACTTCAAGCTAGATATTTGAGCTTACTACAACTGCTTCCACTTCTCAGCCCTGCCTACCTCACAAGGTGTCTGTCGTGGGGAGGGGAAGGGAAAGGAGTGACTCTGAGTAAAGGGTGGGGTATAAATCCAATCTCTTCTCTCTTCTTCTTCTTCTTCTTCTTCTTCTTCTTCTTCTTCTTCTTCTTCTTCTTCTTCTTCTTCTTCAATTGTTGCATTCAATGGTCAATTCTTCCCGATCAGGGCTATTTTTGGGCAGGAACGCACAGGAACAGAGTTCTGGCGGGCTCAGGAATTCATTAGTATAATAGGCCACACCTAACAGCATAAACTCATTAGGATTGGCTGTGGCCTAACATGCAAAGATGTTCCTGCTGCAAAAAAAAGCCCAGGGTTTTGACAACAAACAAAGTAAACAGAATAAGAAGCAAAAGTTGGGTGTGGCAACATGGGGGTGTGGCCTAATATGCGAATTAGTTTCTGTTGTTGGTGTGGCCTGTTATGCTAATGGGTTCCTGCTTGGCTTTTTCTACCATAAGAACATAAGAACATAAGAGACGCCAATGTTGGATCAGGCCAAAGGCCCATCCCATCCAACACTCTGTGTCACACAGTGGCCAGAAATACCAGGTGCCATCAGGAGGTCCACCAGTGGGGCCAGGACATTTGAAGCCCTCCCACTGTTGACCCCCCCCCAGCACCAAGAAGACAGAGCATCACTTGCCCCAGAGCCCCTAGCTATACCTTGTAGCTAATAGCCACTGATGGACCTCTGCTCCATATCTATATATCTAATAGCCAAGTTGCCCCCTGAGTGCGGATCGCTAAATCAGCGCTCCGGGGGCGCCTTGTTGTGTGTGGGGGGGGAGGTTTGTGCACACGTGGGCCAGTCCCCACGTGTGCACAAAAATCGAAAAAGTTGAAAAAAAATTTAAACATCCCCCCGAAAGTGACAGAGCGTCCCCTGCGCATGCGCAGGGAACGCTCTGTAGCTGGCCTCGCCGCCGCCCTGCCGCCACTGCCTCCTCCTCAGAGCCGGGTGGCCGG